ATTATTATTATTATTATTATTATTATTATTATTATTATTATTATTATCATCATTATCATCTGCAAAAACAGAAGAACTTTGGCTGCTAACATTCCTCCCCTTTCCATCAAAGGTTATCGGGGTTGTGTTTTACCGCGAGTTTCAACAACACAGAAAGACACATTTTCAAAAAGCCGGGGATCAAAAGAGAACACAATGATCTTTATTTCTGTGTCGCTCTTTGGTGGAGCGAAAATGCTCGCCAGCCATGGCCTTTCTTCCCGTCGAGCCTTTGAAGCAAAAATAGAAGCCGCAACCACAAGCAAATTGACCCACAGCAGTCATGAAAGCTGGTGGGGATGTCAGAAATTTAAAGGAGACAGTCTGCAGTCTTAGATCAAGTTCCTTTGGGGAGAAGAGAGCCAGAGAGAGAAGATCTGAAAATCGGCCCCTGCCATTTTAGCAAGTCCTTTTTTTGATGGCCATTTGACTGGAGATCGAACGCAACTTTCTGGTGGGCTTCCATAACTCATCTCAAGAACATCCAGACAGAAGCCAACAAAGGAAAGAGAGAAAGAAAGTTGAAGGAAGGGAGGAAGAAAGAAAGAAAGGGGAGGAGGAAGGAAGGAAGAAAAGGGAGGGAGGAAGGAAGGAAGAAGGAAGGAAGGAAAGAAAGAAAAAAGATGAAGGAAGAAGGAAGAAAAAGGAAGAAGGGATGGAGAAGGAAGGAAAGAAAGAAAAAGATGGAGGGAGGAAAGGGAGGGAGGAAGAAAGAAAAGGAAAGGAAGGGAGGAAGGAGAAAAAGGGAGGGAGAAGGAAGGAAAGAAAAAGAAAGATGGAGGAAGGAAGGAAAGAAAGGGAGGAAGGAAGGAAAGAAGAAAGAAAAACAGAAAAGCATCAATCCTGGTGTCTTTGAACCGTCTTTACTTTACCATCTTCTCATTCTAGCAAATACCAGAATATATATTCCTGGCTGTTCTTCTCCAATCTTGGCCGCAGCTCTGAACCGGCGTGGTGTGAAGCCCCTTTTCTTTCTCTTGTTGTAAAAAGGGCGGGGGGGGGCCTCCTTTGATCGCCTAAAGATTTCCAATGGCCGAGGATTAACCACTCTTCCCCTTGAAGGCTGAAGCGGGGAGGGAATTGCCCGTTTGCCAGGAGATGAAAGGGGCTGCCGGGAGCCTCTTTTTCTCCACACTCCCCAAAGTCGGATCGATACCTTCCTTTCTTTCTTTTCTTTCTTTTCAGAGGCCAGAAAAATCCTCAACAAAATGTTGCAGCCCCGATGAAGGGGCTTTCAAACTTCTCCCAAGGAACTTGGCAAAGCTCCCGAGCAAAAGGCCTCATTTATCTTCCCATCGCTTCAAGGGTTTCGCATTTTGGGGGCAGGAAGATGTGAAATTTCAGGCTAGCCAAGAGGGAAAATTGGTACCTAATTTCTCTCGGGGGAAGCTGGAAGTGTTTTCTTGTCAACATCAAGGACAATTGGAGATAAACGAATGGTCAGTGTAGCTTCTAAGGCCTCCCGCTTCTTAAAGACAAAAATGTGGCTTTGTGGCTAGAGAGGATCTTTTCCAGAGATCTCAGGTAGAACAACTTCTTAGAATTAGAATTCTTTTATTGGCCAAGTGTGATTGGACACACAAGGAATTTATCTTGGTGCAAATGCTCTCCGTGTACAGAAAGGGAAAGAGACCTGAGTCAAGAATCATCAGGTACAACACTTCATGATAGTCACAACACGAGGTAGTGAGGGGAGGGGGGGAACTTGCCCCACACGCCTGGCCTGGCCACCGGGCTGCTTCTTTCTGCTTCTTTCTTCTTCTGCTTTTGACTGCACACAAGGAAAGCAGCAAAAGTCTTTCTTTCTCTCCCCTAAACTCCATCAGAACTGAGTCTTTGGGACCCTGCAAGGCCTCCTGCTCCAAGAGGCTGCGCTGGCCCAACAAGTCTCACAAAGACTCATTTCAGGCGGAGTTTGGGGGAGAGAAAGAAAGACTTCTGCTGCTTCTGCTGCTTTCCTTGCATGAAGCCAAAAGTCTCTCTCTCTCTCTCCCCTCTGAGAACGGAGCTGGAGACGGTATCCTGCGATCCCAAATAAAGAATGATTGATTGGTAGGAAAACAGTGGGGGATTTTCCTGCAGACTTTTTGGGGGATTTTCCCAGAGTCTCTGGTCCGCGGGATTTAAAATGATGAATTTGGTGGTCCCTGAGGTCCAAAAGGTTGGCGACCCCTGGACTAGAATACAACAAAGTCTACATTTTGGGTAGGGAAGACCCCTGGTTTGAAAGAGGGGTCAAAGAGGCCATCTACATTAAAATTTGAACAGCCCTCTCAACAGAAGAGAGAGATACCACACTACCCATCTCCTGTCCTTTCAGCAGTCTGAAGAAAGTTTGCATTATTCAGGTAAATAAATCTCCAACTGGCCTCAACAACTCTCAGAGGGAGCGCCAATGACCAGAGGACTACAAGGCGTATCAATCGTTTCCATTCTCTGCCATTCACTCAGAACTAAAGGAAGCTTCTTGCATGAGACGCGAAACATCTTCAAGGAAAGACGTTTGTCAGCTTTTGAAAACGCATCTTTGGGGCAACCGTGATGGAGAATCTCCATAGCTTTGGTTTTTAGTTGACCGTGACTCGGTTTCCCTAGTTGGATAATCTGATTTTTTTTCCCAGCATCGGAGCAGGATACCCAGACCTGTCCGGTGATGAGGTGGCCTTTTGGCAGCATAGAGTCATCCCTCTCAAACCCTCCTCGCCAAGGGGAAGCCAGCTCAGGAAGCTAATGATCAGCAGGATCAGCTAAAGATCCATCCATTT